TACTGTTCAAAGAGTTGTGTTCAGATTTATTTCGTAAAATTTAATTAGCCGAAAGTCAGGGTCTGGAAGAAAGAGAAAAAAAAAACAGAAAGAGAAGATCGATTGATTGTGAGGGAAGTGATGAAGAATCGTAGGATATCAGTGAATCAGATAAAGCAAAATTTAAACTTTGAACACTTATGTAACAATACAATTGTTGCAAGAATAAAGATAGGTCAAGAGTTTACCTCAGGTTGGCAAACTAAAAAGCCTTTTATAAACGAGAAAACTCGTGTTAAGAGACTAAAATGGTGCAGAGATCATTTAAACTGGACATTAGACCAATGGAAAGGTGTCATATAGACAGATGAGTCACCTTTTGTGTTACAATAAACGAGAAAAATCGTGTTAAGAGACTAAATGGTGTAGAGATCATTTAAACTGGACATGAAATGGTGTCATATGGACAGATGAGTTACCTTTTGTGTTACAACCAAAAGGTTATGCAACCAATTATTAAAAATTATTATAATATTTAAAGACTTATTTAATTTCAATTGTAACAAGAGAAAATGAAATTATATTGAGTATTAAACAAAATAGACGTAAAAATTCAGAAAACATTAATTTTACAATTTTATTTTAAAAATTGTAATTTTCCTATTTCAGTTGATTTTTACTAATTCCGCAGTTTATTGTTTTATTGAGTTTTTTTTGTTCTTTATTGACAAATTTAGTGTAATAATAGTTATTATTTGACATATTCGAAACAAAGTTAAAAAATAATTGAGAAAAAATTGATTTTTTTTGATTTAAAAAAAAAAAACATTTTTTTTGAGGACACTGTATATATACATAAATATAATATATATATATATATATATATATATATATATATATATATATATATATATATATATATATATATATATATATATATATATATATATATATATATATATATATACATATTATATATAGTTAAATTTTAAATTGTTTTCAATGCAATATCAAAGTATTTACCCAAACATTATTAGTCATTAGAATCTTTATTATATGAAAACATGGCCGTCCGAAAAAACATGAATATTATAAAAGGAAACCGAGAAAAAAAAAAGAAAACGAGTTTCGAGTAAAAATGTTTTAGTTTGCAGACTCTACAATAAACAAAAACATGCATGTAGAATAGTATTTGGAGCCGACAGAAATGTTCCTTGCGAACCACTTCTAAGTGTGCTCGGTGCTTTAAATGTATATAAACTCAATTTATTAAAGTTTTATTGTTTATGTTTAAAACAAAAAAAGAATTGTCTCCTAAAATATTTCAATCTTATTTTAATGAAATTAACCATAGGTACTCAACAAAGTTTTCAGAAAACAATTTTGTTGTTCCAAAACATAAATTAAAATTAACTTCCTATTCAATTAAATACCGCGGACCTTATCTGTGGAAGAAATTTCCAGATATTGTTAACAAAAAGCAGACTACATTAGAGCAATTTAAGGATGAATCAAAACGATTATTATTGTTCATGGATCTCAATAAATCCGACTTTAAATGTTTATTTTGAAGTAAACACAATAAAAAAAAATAAAAAAAAACAGATTCAATTATATCAATGATATATGATAATATGAATAAGAAAAGAAAGAAAAAGGAAAAAAAGAAAAAAAAAAAAAAAAAAAGAATAAGAAATCCAAGTGATGATGTCATAAGTGATGATGTTACATATTCATTTAGTGTTAATTATGAGATTTTATTTTTTCAATTTCTTTTATATTCAGGAATTTTTTTTTTTTTTTTTTTTTATATTAACTTATTTCTTAAACATTTTAGCAACTGTTAAGCATCTTACACTAACGCTTCTTAATTAATTCTTATTTTTTATTTTTTTTATTATATTAGTTATTTTCTATTTCATTTCTAATTGTTTCTTTTATATATATATTTGTATGTTACGGTTATGTAGAATTTTTAATGGGGCTCGGCGATAAGGCGAAATGTGCCTTCTTCTTGCTCCAGCCATCAATTTATATAAATGTATATGCAATGTAAACATTTTTTAACGGCGAAATAAATTACACTAAATGTCAAAAAAAAAAAAAAAAAAAAAGACTTGAATCAAACATTTTTTTTGAAAAGTCTCATACTAAGAATACTTTCGCTAGCTTGGTTTATAATAAACATGTTGGTTTTTACATTAAATTGTAAATTACGTATATAGAATTTGACGTAAAGTCAAAATATTTTTATAATAGATAACTTTTTGACATCCACTCGTTTCTAATTTTTAATATAGGTTACAAGCACGAAGATTCCGAGGTAAAACCTTCTCTACGTTGAGACAAATATGAACGTTTTTAACAACAGCTTGTGCAATTTGAAATATTCAAAACCTCAATTTTACTCAAATTTTTACCAGCACAATATAATTTAAGAGGAACTAATATAATCGAATTTGTTGAAAAATTCAAAGTATTTTATTTGGAATCTGGAAAAATATAAGTTTAACTTTTGGTAAATTTAAAGCTTTTAAAATTCATTTATTTTACGGAGATGAAGTACATTACGGAGATGAAGTACATTACGGAGATGAAGTACATTGAGCAGCTCGGAGTACTAGTAGAAGTAAAATATCAGTTTAAAGTAAAAACGGTTTCAAAACGAAATTAAAGTCTTGAAAAATACATACGCGTCTATGAACGCAATAAATCAACATGCAAAACCATCTTACTCTAACCTACTCGGTAATTCGCAAAAATAAATTCTTGAGTAACAAACTTTTAAAGGTTTTTAACCAAAGACTTCGACGTAGAAAAGCGAGGAAGTGTAATGTTATTTTAGTCGGTATTACCAAGTCGGAAAAATCCGATTATAACAAAATCGAGGAGCTTTTAAAAGTGATTAAAATTAGCAGAATTACAATATAGTCAGTATGTTGTCTGTAAATAGATAAAAGCGTCAATAACAATTCACCTAGTTTTGTATCATACAACAGCTACGCAAGATTGGTACTTACGTTCTTAGGCAAATAACTCATGCTTGCTTAACAGACAAAAATTCGACGAAATTGCTGCTTGACTCAAAACAACATCTCAAAGCGCTATCCCGGATATTATCTTTGTCGTAAAAACTTGGTTCAAGTATTGGCTGAAATATCAACATACATTGAAGCGTAATACTGGAAAGATTTATTCAATAGCCTTTCAACAAACGAGTGTCACTAACTTTTTTGTCAAAAAGGAGAAGATGCTTGCGAGCTTTTGTACCAACTACGAACAATCCGGTCGTCGAAGATCTCAACCCATGGATAACACCGAAAGTAAGAGGCAATCTTAGAAAAAATAAAAAAAGTACGAGCCGCTGGGCGCTTTACACATGAAATCCTTTAAAAAAAAAACAACAACAAAAAAAACATGCCGAATCACGTAAACAGTTCAATAAAGTGGTTAAAAAAACAGTGTAGAATTGTTTTATTCTTAAAACATAACCAAAAGTTGATTCATAAATAAAATAAAATGTAGAACATCAAAGATTGAAGACGAGTTTTAGAGGACGGAAAAAGAAAAAACACCGTCGATATCATAACAAAAGCTATGTATCAGGGATACATTACAGACGTAATAACTACGGATCTGGAAAAAACCTTAGCTAAAGTCTTCCACAAAAGATTTCTCATAAACTTCAAAGTGACGGAATTAAAAAATGAACTCCAGGCGTGGATCAAAAGGTGGTTTTCATGAAGACTCAGGAAGAATTATAATTGGAGAAAACACCTCAAATTGGAAATTTTTTGCAAGTGGTAACAAAAAAAAGGTTGCTGTTTGGTACTGCTTTAATTTTAACGGAACAGGTCTTTCACCAAAACAGTTGTTTTACCTGAAACGCTTTTTAGTCAATACAAATAGTGGCAGTTTCTACAGTAAAAGACTTTTTTTAGTTTTTTTTTTAAAGCACGCATCTTTATTTATTAGTTTTTTTAAAAATACTACGCAAAATATACTGTGTAGCAACAATTGAAAATTTGCAAAAACTACATTAACCTTTCAGGTTTTAGTTGAAAATTTAATTTTAAAAAATTGGTAACCCCATGCGTTATATAAACGTGAAAGATGTTTGAATATATCTGTAGTCAATTAATTGTTATTTACTCAAACACAAAAATTAGACGAATAAAAAAAAAAACGTTTACATTTTTTTGTAAACGTTTTGTAATTGTTAAAATTGTAAACATTATTATTTAGGATTCACTAAATAATAATAAACATAATAAAACTTAATTAGTTTTTAAGGCTCACTCTTAACTGAATCCTAATTTTAAACACAATAATAAGAAAATCTAACATCACTAATGCTAAATTAATATATCAATGAGGTTTAAGTTTGAGTCAATGTTTTTTTTTTCATACAATTTAAAAGGGCGTAATCCTTGTGGGTTACTAAGGTTAGTAAAAGAGTCAAGTCAATGACCATACACAGGGTGGCCACACTATACACAGGGTGGCCACACCATACACAGGGTGGCCACACCATACACAGGGTGGCCACACTTTTTTTGAGTTGGAAAATTAGAAGAATTTAGAGGACTTTATCGATAAACTTGGAAAAACAATAAAAAAATTATTTAGGAGAATTAAAATTTTTTTTTGACAATATTTAAATGTTATTCAAAAAATTAATCAAAATTAAAAAATTTTTTTTTAAAGTTTGAGATTAATGTTTGAAAGAAAACTTAAAGATTAAAAAAATAAATTAGAAGATTTTAGAAGGTGTTTTTGAAATTCAAGTATATTTTAGGAGAATTTAAGTCTTTTTAGCAGGTTTTTTAAATATTAGGATACTTTAGGATTTCTTGGGAGGCGTGGCCACCCTGCATATATTTTTTTGATAGACGTTTTATTTGTTAGAATATTTCTCGGTGTCTGGGAATAGCTTATCCAGATTACTAATAAGTTCGCCGCAAAACAAAAATATTTTTGTTTCGCGCCTCCAGACTTTAAAAAGACAATAGTTTTAAGACAATAACGCCTCATTTTTATCTCCTTGTTAAAAGTTTTATAAAGTTTTGTACTTGTTTACGAAGCTTTGTACTTGTTTACGAAGCTTTGTACTTGCTTACGAAGCTTTGTACTTGTTTACGAAGTATTCAATAAAAAACAGATTTTATTTTGTTGAACAGCTTTTCTACGAAGCACATTGAAGTTGACAAAATCTGGGTCTAGAGAAAATTAAAAATTTAAGTAAATGATTAACCGAAAAAAAATTATTAATTGATAAACATTAGAGTAATAATTTAAAATATTTAATTTTAAAAAAATTTATAAATTGCTACATTATACAAGTAATGTCTAGTAATGTTTTATAATAAAACATTACATGGCTGTTATCGTGGAAGTACAGAAATCAATTAGTGAGTTGTTAATTTGCATGCACCGCAATCCACACTTTTTATAGGACCCAGGAGAAATCCTGGGTCCTATAAAAAGTGTGAGTTATGGAAATCTAACAATTAAACGAACAAAGAATAAGCCAGTAATAATTCTTTAGACAGTAATTTCTGCAAAGCTCAGTTTAGGTGTATATCTTGGTCTGATCCGAGCATCTCCATAGATCTCATAACTCCTTAGTTTGGTCCTTAAATTGCTTGGGCCTGGTGTAGATGTCCTTTTTTAAAAACATTCTAATTCAATATGAAACTTGAAAAGTTTCCTAAAAAACCAAGTAAATTAGATAGTCAAGCATCTGCAATTTTATGTTTTCTGTGATCATGCCATTTTTTTTGGTTACACTTTGTAATTGTTTTCTAAAAACAAAAGTAAGCAAACCAATATACAACCTGCTAGAACTAATAGGACAACAGCAATGTTTTATTTCAGGATTAAATCAATCAAAAAGTAAAACAACTGATCTCAAATAGTCACTATTTAGTTTTATATTTTTAGATTTAATTCATGTAGCATATAACCATGGTAACTATTTTATTTTGCATCTTTGTAGCATTCTTTATGCTTTTTTAGGAAGTCTGCAGTTTCCTTATTTTTTGTGGTCACAAAATTTGTAAACGATATCTTCACTAATTTTCTTTTTGTAAAAAATTTTGTTTAAAGCAATAATTTTACGTATTTTAAGTGAGATTGCATTGAAAATACATGTTTGCTATTCAATAACAATATTCAGTAGCCTATTAGTAAATTACCGAAGCCTAATAACCTTCAGTTTTTTTTAGCTTTAAATAACGTAAATACATTTGCATTTTGTTTCGCAATTCCTCGAAAGTAACACAAAAGTAAGACTCCTTTTCTATCTTTTATAATTAAAGTAAGACTCCTTTTCTATCTTTTATAATTATTTATGTTTTTAATCGTAATGAATTAGGAATTAAGCAACTAAAGTATTGTTTACTTGGTTTTTTTAATAACAAAGTTGCCATCTTTACTTTTTTCCCTACATCGAATTTCGAAACCAGGCCTCTGAAATGAATTTGGCTAATAATGTGCGGTTACGATAAAAGTGAAAAGAAAAGGAAACTTTAAATTGAATATGCCTATATTTAATTTAACGTTTTCTTTTAGTTTTGAAAAAAAATTATATTCAATTTAGCATTTTCTTTTCTTTTCACTTTTATCATAACCGTACTTTATAACAATAAATTTGATTTTTAGATGCTTAAAATAATAAACGAAGTTTTTGCATACTTATAAATAAGAAACAAGATTTTGCAATGCCTGATTAAATATTTTTTCAATTAAACTAAAAATAGGTTTTTCGTAATATATCGTACAAAGTAATACAATTAAAACATTCGACAAATTAAGAAGTCATATACGTGAAAATCTTATAGAAGATTTTAAAAACGAGCTGAAATTCGTAGAAAATATAATGTAGTTAAGTTAACAGTAAGCAAAACTGTAAAATCAATTGAATCTAGTAACGGCTATCCAAAGAGCGAACATCTAAGAAAAATAATACAAAGATTAAATTAAAGAATTCTAAAGAACTTAAAATGATCCATTTTTGTCATCCACAAAGTTATCATAAAAACGTGAACTACCGCGCTGTAGTTCACGTTTTTATGTTAGTTCCGTTAGCACTAAATTATGTTAATTAAGAGCTAACGAAGCAAAATTGTTTCCTCGAATAACTGTCAAAACGATAATTTGCGTTTGCTAAAGCCACCAATATTGGACTGAAAGCGTCCAGTGAAAAACATTTTTTAAGTGATCAATTAAAATACAATCTCTTTGGTAGCGACAACATAAAGCGAATCTGGAAATCAGAGAACATCAGACAACACTAAGTATACCGAGAGTGTTAAGCAAAGAACGCCTGCAGTGATTTATGGATGTTTCTTAGCGCTAGAAACTCGTGAATCTATTCAGATAATTAATAGAATTATAGATTGCTTTTTGTAAAAAAATATCATGGGAGATGTTATGATTTTACATGCTAAAGAGAAGTTGCCCCTAAAATGGATTTTTTAACAGAATGGCCTTAAACACACGTCAAAAATCGTACAACAATGTTTCAAAGACAAAAGTATCACCATGGCGTAGCGTCCTGCACAAAACCATGACTTGAATCAGAGTATCTGGGAAGTAATCGACAAAAAGATTAAGCATGGTAATTTGAAGCATGACGATGAATTACGAAATATTGAATTATTAATCAATCTGGTGCCTGGAAACAGATTGACATGAGAACTGCTGACTCAATAACTGAGCCAATCTCTCACAGAATGAAAGCATTAAATCCAAATAAAGAAGGTCTTACCAGATATTAAGTGAATTTTTTGAAGTTTTTATGAATTTTTAGTTCAGTTTATCTTGTTTTGTTTGAAGAAAATGGTTTCGAAAAAAATGTGAAATATTTTAGCGATTTTTATCATAATTCAAACATTCCTAATTTTGCTGAAAACATAATTAACTATTAAAAAAAAATCGTTTTAAATTTCAATGTTTTGTATGTTAATGTATATAAAGATTTTATACAGTAAATAAAACCTTTCTGTCAACAAAAAACACGAATTGATTTTTAGGTAGAGGGCCTTTTGTCTAACTTCTACTTGTTAAGCACGACTGCTCACTCGAATTTATAGGGGATAGGTAAAGTAGGATATACAGAGATAGGCGTAGTTGAATTTTTATAAATCGACCGTTATAAATAAGGATAGATCTAGTGAGTGCGCAAACGTCGACTGAGATTTCGGGAAGTAGTCTTGCAAATAAGAGTTAGACAAGTAAGCCTACCTTTGAATACATTTTTTTCGTCGAAGACGGCGGCATAAGTAACAAATATTTGTACTTGACAAAACAACTTTTACAAAATCTGATGCTGAAATAAATATCTTAGATCATTATAAACTATATACGCAGCATATGCTATTTAAAAAAATTGCGAAGTAAACACAGCAGTGCGCGGGCTGTGACGTCATTTTGTGGTAACGAATTTTGAACTTTTTTTTTTTTGTAATATATTATTTAAAACTATTTACTTGTGGATTTAACTTAAATATATGAAGTTAAAAAACTTCTATTATTATAAAATTATCCTGTAAAATTTTTTAAGGAATTTTTTTTGGAACCTAACCGAATCCTCATTACTTTTATCGACATTATCGTTACCGCTTCTTGAAATTGAATTATCTGTTAACTCCACTGATACGTATATTCTATGTCTGTCCCTGTTTTTTTACTGATACGCATTTTCCAATCACAAAAATGTCAATATATTGCAATGGATCCTCTGCATATGTTACACACACACACACACACACACACACACACACACACACACACACACACACACACACACTGATGAATTTAAAACAAAGTTACAGAAAACTTAATAAACTTATGAAAAAAAAATAACCCCGGGCCCCAAGAAATCTTAATCCGCCACTGGTCATGATATTATAATTTAATTAGTTTCTGTTTACATTTTTATTTATTTATTATTTGCAATATATTTTGGTTATGATATTACAAGAACTATGATTAATATATTTACTAAATCTGTATAATTTTTTTTAGCAATAGTTGTTTTTATGTCATCGTTAGTTGTTACGTTTTGTCAGTTTATTACTGTTTGTAACTGTAACTTTGTATGTATAAGCGATTGTTGTATAGAAAGTTATACCGATTTATTTAAATTGCTATATTATTTAAATAAATTACTATATTATTAATATTACTATTTTTAAAGTAGCATGTTATTATTATTATTATTGCTATTATTGTTATTATTTATCATTATTTTATTATAAATATTTTTATTATTATTATTACTATAACTATTTTAATCATTGTTATTGATGTTTACTTAATATTAGTTTATACTATTTGTAAGCAACCTTGAGTAATACCATGTATGTAATACCATGAATGTAATACCAAATATTTCAAAAAATATATTGATTGATTGAATGGCATTTTAATGAACAGAAATTCGTTAAGAAATTTAAAGCACTTTTTTTTTGCAACTTAATATACATTTTTTTATTTTATTTAGGCAATCAGTAAAAAAGATAACTAAAGAAATAAATAAGTCACTTGAATACACCACAATAAACAATGAAAAAAACGATTTTTAAAAAATTATTCAATACGTATTGAAATGTGTCAAAAACTCGCGAATTTCCATAGTGCATAGAAAAAATAATTTGTGTTGCGTCAGTGTTCTTACCACAAAGTAAAGTTATATACACAAAGCCTGTTTGCTTCAACGATCCCATTTCATTAAAAGTTATATCTATACTTTTTAATGGTCTAAACTAAAACTTTACCGAATAAGTAACAAACTAAACACATTATTGAACATACCTATTGTAACAATCGTTGAAAGTTAAAACAAACTTTAAACCAATTGAAGGATTTGAAAGTACAAATTCTTCTATCATTGTAGGATGAGAAACATCAACTTCAAGCCACACGTACCTAAAAATTTTCTATACTAGTAATTCTATTATTTGTGTTTAAAACCCATATATGGCTGATTAAAAATGATAAAAAAAAAAAATTAGTTTGGGCTTGAAAAATCAAAACTAAATTTTTTTTTCATTTGGGGGCTCTAAAATAACCCCTTTGCTAAATGGTCTGGATCAACCAACTCTTCCTTGGCAATATTCTAGTGAAATTGATTTAAAAAAAATTAATGCTAAAGCATCTATGTAAAGTTTAAGAAAAGTTTTTATGTATAAAAATTGGTGATGGTAACTGTTTTTGCTCAACTTAAAATGTTTGTCAAAAATATTAAAAGTTACAATTAATTATATATATTAAAAAAAAAAGCCACAGATATATAACGCAAAACATATTTTGTAACATATCATTTATTGAATATTTAGTTCATCATTTATTTATTGAACACTTAATACTATTAGAAAAACAAATTATGTTAATAATGCAGGATTTTTATATTATCAATTAACAACAGTTACAATTTTTTAGTTAAATCTGTTTAAATTCAGACTTAGTATTAAAGTGCGGCATTAATTTTCGGCGCTCCAAAAGAACGCGAATATAGCCATCACGGCTATCATGACCATAAACCTTAGATGCAGATTAAGTGACAATTTTAATTAAACATTCAACACTTTGATTGTGGCATGGAAACAATTCTATATCAACAATACCTTCATCTGACTGAAGCCAGGCCAATATTTGTGCGGTAGAAATATGTTTTGTCAAAACAGGTTCTAAGCGGGGAATAGTTTGCCAATCAATCAGCTCTTCATAGCATGTTGCTTAAAGTCTAGTTTCAGGGATTTGGAATTCACGATTTGGTATGTCATCTTCCCTTAAGAGGGCAGCAGCAAGATGAAAGCTCTTTGCATTTACATGAACAAATATCAAACAGTTTATTAAGATTAGTTTCTACATCTTCTCTTTTGAGTGTTGCAGATTTTGATCGCACCACTTTCTGAACTTCACCTATATACTTTTCCAACTGGATTTCTATCCCTCGAAGAGTTATTGTAGGGATTGAATTTTACATAAATTCAATTTTATTTTGATGTTTATATTAAAATTGCTGCAGTTGAAATTTTAAATGGTTTCTTTATCATGTTGACTAAATGGTCAAACTAATCCAAATTCTTATAACCAAATGCGATAAAAACCTTCAATGCCCTTATGATTCCATTGATTTATTGATTGAGTTTTGGAGGTTGTTTTTGGTGGTAATACCAATTCAATTGCTTTGAAATTCTCAACATTAGGATAAGCTGTGGAGTTACCTATGATCAGAACAAGTTTTCTACACACACCATTAAACTTTGCATCAAGCCTTCTTACATAATCAGTAAAAATTTTAGAGTCCACCCAATGAGAGGATTTATTTTGAGTGAGTCCATCCAGGATTTATTTTGGGACTTGTACTGACAAGTACAAATATGTTTTGACAAATATAGTGGATTTTCTGACTTTCCAATTATAAACATAGGCAGCTTTTCAACAACCTCATTCGCTGCTGCTAAGCCTGTTAGACAAAATTTGCTTAACTTTCCTTCTACACATCGTTAACCTTTTAGATAAAAGGTTTTTGTCAGAAGTTATTGATAAAATCTGCCAAACTCGTCAGCATTGTCATACCTCAATTCATACATTGAGAAGATCAAGGGCAAATGGATTTGCTCCCAACTTGATGTCTTTTCCTCGCTATAATTAGTTCAAAAAACATTATATCTAGTTTTCCACCAATCAAGCCACCCTTCTAAAGTGAATGCCAACTGCAATGTTGAGTTCTTTTGCGAAATCTATAGCTTTCTCCCTGGAGTAAAAAATAATTTTGAATTACCAAAATGGAAAATAACTGATGGATATTTGCATGAGTTTGTTAAAGAAAATTAACGGGGAAAGGAGATTGCTTTGAATATGCGAGAAATTCGAATAAGTGTCAGTTAGAATAAGTGGGAATTTACTGTGTGTATGTATATATATATATATATATATATATATGCACACACACATATACATATATATATATACATATACATATATATATATATATATATATATATATATACATATATATATATATATATATATATATATATATATATATATATATATATATATATATATATATATATATATATATATATATATATATATATATATACATATATATATATATATACATATATATATATATATATATATATATATATATATATATATATATATATATATATATATATATATATATATATATATATATATATATATATATATATATATATATATATATATATATATATATAAGATTAATAAAATCTTATAAACCAAAGTATTACCCTTGAGAACAGACAAACTTATGTGCAGATCTTAAAATTGATCGAATAACTTCCAAACCATCATATCCACCATCTAATGCATCATGGTGTTCATAGCTAAAGTATTTTTAAATATCAAAATTATTTAAAATACTAATTAAATAATTACATCACAAAAAATTACATTCATATACTTATATGTATATCTGTATACATTTGACCATGGATAAATCAAAAAATTACATTCATATACTTATATGTATATCTGTATACATTTGACCATGGATAAATCAAAAAATTACATTCATATACTTATATGTATATCTGTATACATTTGACCATGGATAAACCAAAATCTTATTTAAATTTATTAAAATAACATTTAATTATTACATAACAACATAACATGCATAGTAACCTAACATCTGAATTGATAAAATAATGTTTGACAAATCTTTAAAAAAATTAAAGCTATATTAAGAAACATTTTCTTGATAAAAAATTCAACACATAACTATAAAACCCAACATTTTCACTTCCTCTTGTAAAAAAGCCATTTCTTTGTGAGGAATGTAAGGTGGGTTACTGATTAACATATCAAATTTCTCTCCACCCGCATCTAATAATGTAAGTTCATCTAAAAGAATTAGAAAAAATTAAATAAATAAGTTTGCAAACAGCAAAAAAATAAACAAATAAATTAAATTACTACACAACAATTTTACAGTGACAAACATAGACGACAACTTAAAATGATTACCCAATGTTTTGTGGAGGACATTTATTCGATCAGCAACTCCCAGTCTAAAAATAAAATTACACCAATCTGAAGTTAAACTATGTTTTCAACATCATAAAACTTGGGCTAAAATGTAGCAAAATGTACATTTCATTATTTTTTTTTTTATAACTTGTTTTATAATAAAATGACTTTAAGCAAATGAGTTGGAGTAAGTATAAAATGAGTTTGAGCAAAATTAAAAAAAGCCGAAAAAAAATGTTTTACTTTTACAAATTAAAAAAAAAAAGTTTAATATTATAAACTGAACTTTACATTTTACTTTGCTTTAATATGAAGAAAAATAATTATGAACGAATATTACCAATTATTTTTTCATAATGGCATTTTATAAGAAACTCATTTTTTTATTAATTATATTCCAAAACTTTACTAAGCACTATAAAAGTAAAAAACCTTGTTTAATTGAACTGCGGGTTTTGGTTTAGGAAGGTAATCTGTCAATTTTTTTTCTTTAATCTTTTTTTAAAGTGGTCTTCAAAGTTTTTCAAAAGTTAACTTTGAAGTTTTTAATTAACTTTAAAGTATTTTATTGTAAATTAAATTAATTAATAATTAAAGACGACCAAGCCAAAAACCAAGGTACACATACACACGCACATATATATGTGAGTGTGTATATACTATCTCTCTAAAACTATTATCTTATGCTTCTTCATCATCAGAATCCCCCTATCATTGTACCTCTTACAATTACTTTTCAGCTGATTGGGACTCTTTACTTCTTAGATTCAGGCTGGCATGGAATCTTCTATTCCCTCTGGGCAATTACAAGTCAAGCCTTACTCTTCTTCGTGGTTTTCCTCTCATTGTGCTGCTGCAATTTCCATTACTTCCATATCTATTGCCAAAACAATTCAGACCATAATTTTTTTAAGACCATCTGCAGCTATAAAATACCAATACTTCCATATCTATTGCCAAAACAATTCTCCAGAAAATAGACATCTGTTTACTGCAAAATTCACATCTGTTATATTCACTTCTCACATAATGAGATGCAAAATTGCATCTCATTATCGAGCTTGCCACTTTCTTACTCCAGATTCTATTCTTTATCTTTATAAATTTCAAATCTTTCCTTGTATGAAATGTTGCCATATCTGGCAACTGTATTCCCCATTTTGCCCACCTGATACTTAGTCAGTGTCAGGTGGGCGAAACTTTTAATTTTTTGCATCCTGTTACAAAAGGATTAATGATTAATTGATTATAAAACCATTGTTATATAAGAACATAGCTTTAAACAATAATATTTAAAGAGTGCAGCAATTAAACTTTATGCTAACAAATTTACAAATTAACGAATTTGTAAATGAATATTAAACAAATTTACAAATTAACGATTTTTCAGTTTTTCATAGTTTATTGCATTTTCAGTTTTTAGATTGATTATAGAAAAAAAGTTGTTCAGAAATTTAGGTTATCAAAAAATTTTGTTAATGTTGTTATTGTTTTATTTTATAAATAAAATAAAAAATGTCATTTAAAAAAAATAAATTGCATAATATACTGAAAAGCTTTTGAAAAGGCACGGTTGTTGCAAAAAAAATTAGAATTATAAAAAGAGCGCTGATTTAAATGAGGAGCAGCTTGCACAGTTCCCCAAGTTTATTTTAGGAGAGCTTTTCTCTGCTTTCGTACGCTTTGTTCCTGCCAAGGCCTATATATATATTATATATATATATATATATATATATATATATATATATATATATATATATATATATATATATATATATATATATATATATATATATATATATATATATATATATATATATATATATATGTATATATATAGGGTTCATAGTATGTACAAATAGTGAAAATACAGTGAAAATTAAAAAAAATTTTGTTTTTTCAGAAAACAGATATTTTTTAATTCTGAAACATTTTTATTCTATTCAAACTATTTAAATGTAAGTATGAACAACATTATGTATTAAGAAAAATATTAAAAATAATTAAATGAAAGTAATACTAAATTATACTTCTGTGCATTTTCCTGAGTCAAACTAACAGCATCTTGATTTTTGTCAAGTGCTATGCATCTAACCTAAACATGTTTTAATTTTAAACATGTTTTAATTTTATAAAATTTTAAACAAAAAACTTCCTTTTTTAAAACACACAAAAAAAACACTTTATTAATATATAAAAATTGATTTTTCACTTACTGTAGATAATTCTGTTAAAAATGCCAATGAGATAGCACCACTTCCACAACCCACTTCCAGAAATTTAGAATCTTTTTTTAAATAGGGCTTTACAATATCAATAAGTCCCTAAAAAAAGACAGTTCTAACACACTTTTATGATGTAAATAAATTTAGATCAATGAATAAAACTTACTTCAGTCTCAGGTCTTGGTATAAACACAGGTTTTTTCATACTCAAGGTCATTAAACGAAAATCCCATTCTTCTATTAGATATTGCAAAGGCTCCCTGAAAATACAACACATTATATTTATTTACATAATTAATTCAAACTGTTCAAACTTTACATAATTAATTCAATGATTTAACAAAAAAAAAAAAAAAAAAAAATACATTAAAATACTGTGAAATTGAAGTTGTTATTTAACAACAATACTTAAACGCAAGTTTATTTTACTTGTTTATAAAATTTAAAGATGATGAACTTATATGGTATTTCTTCATGAAACTTAAAAAACACAATTTCCCAACAGGTTTAAATGGTTGGACCTGATCAAGAACTTTCTATGCAAAGATAGATTCTAATTATTTTTTAAAAGATTTTTCTTATCTTGGCAACTTTCAAGTATATTTTTTTTTTGTTAAAAACATTGTTTTATAAAAGATGCCACTTCAAAAATTACTTTGCACAAAATATGTGCCAAACATAAATTTTGAATATATTTAGAACTAAAAAGAGTAAAAGAAACTCATGAGAGAAAAACTCTGACTAGCTGCAATACAATTCAATGCAATAACAACTTCGAAGCAAAAAAGAATTTGTTTTACAACTTTTAATTTTTTATTTATAAACTATTGAACTTTTAAAAATAATAAAAATTTACGTAAATATTCACATGAAACTGACATGACATGCCAGTCAAACAATTAATGATTGTCAGATAGAATATAATTCAAGTCTTTAACTAATGGAAACATAAAATCCAATAAAAAAATTGATATTGTATATGCAAAGCTGGAGGTGTATTTTTGGCTTGTCTTCTCGCAACATAGAGCATATAGTATTTTAGCATACCAAGACATGATCCGAACTTAGATTGAAAAAAGAAAAATCTTTCATCTGTAAAGATGCAAAATGAATAAGTAAAACAAAAAAACTGTTTAACCTATTTAGTTTAATTTATATTCTATAAACTCAAGTGAAAACAAAAAATTTAGTAAAAAATGTTTTACTTTCATAAAGAAAAGAGTTTTCATGTTTATCACAACAGTCTTTGAACAGACTTTTTTAAATTTATACTTATTTTAGTGTCACTAACAAATGTAATTTATTTTGATTTTCACAATTGAAATCCAAGATAACATAAAAAAAAAAGATTAAAAATTAAATTGATTTTTTAACTTTTATCACTATGGACAGGAAATCAGCTGTCATCTCTATGGACAAGAAACACAAACTGTCATCTCTATGGACAATAAATACAAACTGCTATCTCTATGAACAAGAAATACAAACTGTCATCTCTATGGACAAGAAACACAAAGTGGATATTGCAGATAATAGGCTAGATTAAATTGACAATAAACTTAATAATAACAACATCAGTAATAAAAATATGTATAAATTAAAACTAAAGTTTAAACAATAATAAACTGAAACTATAATACAATAAACTGGAAATTATTGATCAAGTCAGATCTATTTCTATTAAATAAATTATTTTGACAAAAAAATCTAATAATTAAAAAAGATAAAACAAATAATAATTAAAAAGAAAAACCTAATAAAAAGAAAAAAACCTGTTTAATCTTCGAGTGCAAAGAGAATTAAATATTGCATCAGCATTCTTATCCTATTAAAGAAAATAATCAACATTTATGGTCTATTTTTATTTATGGTCACTAATATTTTACTTTGATGAAATTCTAACAATAAAAAGTTTTAGGTTTGGGATTTGTGTCACTAAGTTAATGTTTAATCATTTGTATTCAATTGTTACAAATTCTAATATTTTAAGTAATAAATTTGACACGAGTAGCATTATAGCTATATAAACAAATCACAAATAGCTATGTCTATAGACACATATTTCTATCATCAATTTACTTTTGTCAGAGTCACACATTTATAGCTATTGTGAAATAAAAGAGATTAAAAATTGTGTAATGTAATATTTTAAAAACCAAAATAATAATTTAAATGTTTACTTAGTTTGTATTAGTGTTTTAAAACAGCACAATTATTTTTATTTTGAAATACCTGTTAATCTTAAACATACAAATTAGATAAAGATGCAAATAATAAAAGATACCTGAAATGCATTTTTTCTTGCAAACTTTGTTAATTCTCTAACTGATCCTAATGGATTTTCAATATTATTCTCAGTGAATCTTCGCCTCCATTCCTCCTGCAAAGATTGAGAAACTGATGATAACCACTTAACTGATGATAACCATTTATGACCTTGAAACCTTTTTAAAAACATTGGATTTGATTTAAGCATCCTGCATTTTAAAAATTAATTAACATATATTAGCTAAATAAATGAAAAAATTAGAAATTATTTTAATAAATACTTTTAGCCAAAATAATTGATGTAAAAAAAATAATAGTTACAAAAATTATTATATAAATAAAATTTATATATAAAATTATATATATGAAACCAAATAAATATCTTATTCCAATTATACCATTTTTTATTACCATGGTAACAGAGACACTAGAGGTAACAGTATAAACCTATGTCCCTGGTTGAAAATTTGAAATAAGCTGTTAATAATTAAGATACGAACTATTTTTTTTATCTTAATATTATAAAAACATGTACAATGTGATACTATTTACAATGGAAATTTGAAGGTAATATTGATAAAAAACAAAAAATCTAAAAAAACAAAAACAAAAACAAATAATTTTTATGATTATTACTAATATTTTAAAAAATTATACAATGTAAAATTTCATTCCAGAAAACAATTCAAAATCTCATTCCAGCATACAATGTAAAATTTCATTCTGGCATCGGTTTAAAGTTTTTTTCATTTTTTCTTTTCATTAACTTCAATGAAAGTAAATTTATACAAATCACTTTTCCCCAAAAGAATTTTTATTTCTTGAAGGTTTTCGTTTTAGGTTGAACCTTGTTTTCATTCCACTGGATACTTTTGATGACACCGAGATGTAATCATGACAATAATATGGGTGGCTTTCACAAGGATGCTAAATTTAAAAAGATACATATGTAAAGATTTAAATTTAAAATTAAAAATTTAAAAAGATATGTAAATATATATATATATATATATATATATATATATATATATATATATATATATATATATATATATATATATATATAAATATTTACATCTTTTAAATTTTCATTTATGTGTATGCAAAGATGCTTATAAAATATGTTAAAATATACATAAGAAAATATTTTGTACAATACATTATTTTATAAATGTTGGTTTTGTTTGTTTTTATATGCAGTTTAATGTATATTTTATAAATGTAGTTTAATGTATATTTTATAAATGTAGGTTCAAATATTCAAGCAAGCAAACAAAAAACTTTATATAAAAAAAATTTATATAAAAACAACTAATCTTTTAACTAAAACAAAAAAACTTATTCATTTTACAATAAAAAACTTAAATATATTAATGTATAAAAACTTATTAATATATAAAAACATATTAATATAAAACATATTAATATAAAAATTTTTTTTTTTTTTTAAATAATTTTATTTACATTTTATTTTTTTAAATTAACTTTTTTCGCAAAATTACACTGAGTGTATTTGATGGGGCCTTAATTTTATTTTTAAATAAAAATTAATTTTAGCAAGGACAGACAGCAATTATTGTGCAGAGAGTTACTAAGAAATGAAGAAAACCCAGAAAAAAGACTTTTAAAGCTGAAAAACTGATAAAACACAAACACTTTTGTGGTGTGCAACAAACATTAAATTGATGTAAACTTTAAAATGCTGTTCTTCATAAGATTTTTTTTATTTTTATTGTATTAAGACACAAAAAATAAAAAAATATAAAAACTGAAAAATTTTTTTTAATTATTGAATTCATTTCTTAATGTAACAGTTTGGTTTGCATTGGTTGATGAATTTAAAATAATAAAAAATAAGTTGTTTACTGCAATGATCACAACAATTTTGATATATTAAGGAATAGCCATAATAGCAACAATAAATAAAATAAACAAAATTAAATAAATAAAAACAAATCAAATTTATTTTCCTAAATCACAAATTATTTTTTATCTAATAATATTTTGAGTTGAGTTAAGCAAAAGGAAATTTTTTGAAAGAAATAAAAATAATGTATAAATAATAAAACACAATGTTTAGTAATTTTAGAATAACAGGCCCTAGCTTTAGACAATATGTTTTTTGCATTGATTACTTACAGTAAGTATAAAAATATATAAAAATGATAATAATTATTGAGTCAATAATATTATTAACAAAGTTTAAAAAAATTATTCTGCATTTTGCTATCTATAACTTTTATGCAATCTAGCTCAAATTCTTTGTTTTTTATTTCTTTTTTTTCCTATTTTTCTTTTTCCTTTTTTTCAATTTTAATGAAGTTAAACACAAATGCCATATTTTTTTAAAAAAGATAATTAAAAAGTCTATTTTGGATATTTTAATATTTTCATAATATTAGAAAAAATATAATAATTTATAACAATTTCTGTTATTTTTTATTGATAATTTTGGATTTTAAAGGATGTATTTAAACTTGATGCATAAATTCAAATTAACAGTTTATAAACATTTGAAGATTTAAGTTACAACAGAATTAAAAAGCAACTTACTTCTATTAGATAACTAACTGGCAACTGTATGTTTCCCTTTAAAAGAGCATTAACATGTTGTAATACCTCTGGCGGTTCTGGAGTTAAGATGTAAAAAAGTTTATTGACAGGATCAATATTACGCACAATACCTAAAATCAATTGAAAAAGCTAAAATAAAAACCACAATTTTCAAGTAAAGAACAGATTAGGGATCACTCATAAAGATTTAATATAACACATGATTTAATATAAAAACACTTTTTGCCAATATGAAGACATATAACTTTGACTGTCCCCCCACCCACTCCCCATATCCATAGCTTACTTTTGGAAACACTAAAAGATTTTATCATTTTGAAAATTATCACTAAACTAGCAATAACTTCTTAAGCCAGGAGTTAAAATTTAATCTAAGACTTTCCTGATCTTAAATATGTAAAAATTTATTGATTTCATTTATGTAAATATCTAAATAAATATTAAATAGTATTTCTAGGACATAATATTTTATGAAACAAGAGAAAATATAATAAAAATAATAAGAATGAGTAAAGAAGTTTAGATGAGTGGTAAAAAGTTAAAAATGTTTTTATACACAACAATATGTCCAATAAAAATTACAATACTAATAATGAAATATTTATAGAAATATTTATAACAATACTATTTAATAAATGGTAAATTTTAATATATAAATTATCACACATGCATGTTAATTTAATAAGAAAGCAATCATACAAACATAAAAATTTAAATTCCCTTAATAATCTCTACAAAATGCTAGTAATCAACACTCGTATATCAATATTATCATTATTACAAAAAAAAAAAAAAATTACCCATTCCTGAATATTCTGCCATTGGATTCTCTTTTATTTTATTTGGCAAATCAGTGTCATCACTTAAAATAATCTAAAATAGAAACTTAAATATTTATTTGCTAAAACTTTTTTTTTATGGTGTCCAGCAAATATGTAACCCATAAAAAGCTTTTTTAATATTTTACAAAGGTCCTTACAACTTTATCTACAATTATATGAACATTTCACATACCACACAGCATAAATCAGGCATCATGAGTAGGCATTTAGTACTGACCATAAAGTCCACTTGTAAGCATTAAAGGCTTGTTTTTCTATGCCATATTGTTCATTAGGGTCAAGTAAGGTACTGTAATAAATAAAATGGTCAGCATTTTCTTAAATACAATGGAAAAATTGTCAGCATTTTCTTGGAAGCCATATCTAGGTTTTCAGGATGGCTGTTAAGAGCTAAGAAACAGCCTAAAACTTTTATAATATTTGATAAAAGTGGGGGTGGTAGTGGCAGTGGTAGTGGCAGAGGTGGTGATGGTTGTAGTGGCAGTGGTTGTGGTTATTATAATATTTAAATAATAAAAAAAATTAAATTTAGCTGCTAACATTCTTTTTAATAATATTTACAGTTGTAGTAAAAAAAATATTTCAAAGTTAATAAAGAACAAAAAAGCTTTTATTTGAATTACCTAAGTCAACCTCAAATTTTTCAACATAAAAACGTATCCAGTTCAAGTCAGCACTTTTATGCTAGTAAGTAACAGGGGTTTAAATTTGACTGTGTCAGGAACCAGGTTTGATAAAATAGAGCTGGAGCAGAGTTTTTGACCAGGGCTGCACAAACATTGATACATCATATATGATCCAACTTATCTAATATAAATTTACCCAGGTCACTGATTCCCTGATTCCCTAATAGTGTAGCACTGACGTAACGCTTACGTATTAGCCATGTGAAAGTTATTTTATTTCAAAACACGTTAAATACTTAAAAAAATATCATGCGTCAAAACAAAATTATTTTATTTAAACTTTATCAACTTATTGAGTTACAATACTTATTGTGTGATGTAGTGGTTAACAAATTTGATTGTGGTGTCTGCGCTCCAGGTTATTGGAACCTTTTTTAATTTTTTTTCTTAAATAATTTTTTATTAATTAACTAATTGATGCTAATATATTATTAATAAAAAATATAAATATACGGATACGGACACGGCATTAATAAATAGTTAAGTAATTCAGTTAATAAATAACATTAATGAGCGTAACACGCGTTAATAACAATGCGTTACTAACAATGCGTAACTAATTACGTGTTAATAACAATGTCAATAACATGCGTTATTGTTAATGCTCTTACTCTCCAGTCTTTTTTTAAATAAAAAGGAGGGGAAGGGAAATAAAAGGTGGGGGAGGGGGGATCTAGTAAACAAGGGAATGGGGTTTAATACGCTTGGGGTAAGGTAGAAATTTTTTCAAAAAATTAATAAACATTCCCTCCTCCATTTGTTTAATGAAAATTTTAAACTTATTTAAGAACTTTTATTTTAAACATTTGTTATAAGTCATTTAAATTTATAATTTTAATTCTTTTTCACTTATAAACACTCATTTGGTATGTATAATATATATATAAGATTTATTTGCCTTCACTGGCTTTGGTTCATTTCTCAAAATAATTATCATTTACAAGTGTAAAAGGTTGCTAAAAACGGGCACCACAAGTATATTTTTTTAATGCTAAATTCATGTTATATTTTATATACTGAATATTTATATATAATAATCATCATGATCATCGTCATTATCATCATCGCCGTCATCATTCATCTTTGCCATTATCCTCATCATTGCCATCATCATCATTATTATCCTCATCATCACCATCATCATCATTGTCATCATCATCATCATTATTATCACCATCATCATCATCATCATCATTTAACTTTGCCATCATCATCCTCATCATCTTCATCCTCCTCCTCCTCCTCATTATTGCCATGATCATTATCATCATCATCATGATTACCATCATCATTATCATATCATCATCATCACTATCATCATCATCATTATCATCTTTATCATCATCATCACTATCATCATCATTATCATCATCATCATTATCATCATCATCATCATCGCCATCATCATCATCATCATCATCATCATCATCATCATCATCATCATCATCATCATCATCAGTCTTTAGCATTTCTTTTTATACTTATTCTTTAATATAAAAACTTTTGAGCCTCTTTCCTCTCAACCTTAACTAAAGCTCATTAATACCATATGTAACGCACTCTCTCCAAGTTTTCTTACTTCTTCCTCTGCCATTTTCTCCTGAAGCTGCTGTCTCTCTCTATGCTGATTAACAAACCACATTATTCTTCTCTGACAAACATTGTTCAATACAACATTTTTTCTAACCTCTGTCTAAGATTATGGCTTTTTTCTTGTCTGGTCATACTATCATCCTTCTGATCAACATCTTCTATTTATAATAGTAACATCATCTATCTATAATAGTAGTCAATACCATATTAATACTAAATTTTTATAAATATGTAAGGATATTGTATGCCAGCATCTAAATAAATAGCAAACATATGCTTATATCCATATATATCCATATTATGTATGAATAAACATGTTACTTACCTAACATTCCATTTCTATTTTAAATCTAACATTCCATCTCTATTTTATGGATATGATCTTATTACTTCTCTCAATGATAAGGCACAACTATTAGCAACTTAATAACTTGTTCTCTAATTCCACTATTGAATATAATGGCCATATTTACGGCCATTCCAGTTATAGAGAACAACTCATTGATAGACATCCAAATCAGTAGGTTTCTGTTGCTAAAGTTAATTCTTAACTAAATTATTTTATGGCTTGTGGTTCAGACAACATTTTCATATTAGTGTTCAAAAGAGTTCTTTCTTTAATTCTCTCTAAACATTAATAAGTGCTAATTAAGTGGTTGCAACTTTTAAACCTCTAGAAAATAATATGAACTCTTTAACTATACTATGATTAGTCATCTCTGTATAATTTCTTTTTATAAAGGTTTTGAGATAAAATCATTTCTTTCTAACCACAGTATTAAATTCATTTTTGAACACTTTTCTTCTTTTTCAGTAACTTTAGGGATACTGCAAGACTCTATATTTGCTAATGTATGGTTTCTTAACTACAATAATTCTCTTTTAAAATAACATTTTTCCTGACAATCTTACATTTAAGTTCTATTTGCTGACGATTCAGCTTTATACTCTTGTCCCTGACAAGAAATCTTGACTAAAATTTGTCACTTACTATTCAATACTAATGTTAATCTTTGACTGCAAACTTGAAGGGTTCATTAGTATTATTATTATTTAATAGATAAACTTTCTATTGAAAAAATTTGCAAAAAACTTACAGACTCTTTGTTTATTGTAGCCAAACACACCACAGATAAATTAAATGCATGCAGTATCAACTCAAATGAAACCTAAAATTTAAATTTAAATATTTTTACTTAAATTTTACATTTTTTAAACTATAGATACAAATATTAAAACCAGTGAATAAAAAAAAAATAAAAAAAAAATTAAACTTTTAATATCATAATTCAAACATTTTTTTATATTCAACATAAATATTATTTTCAGAAATTTTTCATATTTCATTTCGTTCACTCTATTATGTACAAAGTATTTTGATCTTTTGATATTAAGTATAAAGTATTTTGAGGTGTAAACATTATGGAACATGCTTTAAATGCAAAAGAACATCATGCAATTAAAGTCCCTAAGTAGAAATATATTATAAATAATTGTTTATCTCGGATAACCATGCCTTTTAAAATTTTGATTCACTTCCAATAAGGCTGCAAGCAACATCAAGTTTGGAGTTACTAGAAAAAAAGAAGAGTTCTAGAGAAAGAAAACGGTTGAAAGAAGACTTGAAAAGTAAAAGGTAAAGGGAAAGCCAGGAAAACGTAAAGATGGGAAAAATTTTTAAAGGGTTAAAGTGCGGGGAAAAAAAAATGAATAAAAGTTTTTAAAGTATACAGGGACAGATACAGTAAACAAATGAGACTTAGCTGAATGACAAGTCAAGCGAGAATGAGCTTTAGTTGATGGAATTAGAGATAATAGCTCCTATGAGCAGTGATAATGATAGTATTTGTAAAAAAAGATAAAAAGATTCAACTTAACGATGATGGGAAAGAGGCTCAAGCTTTACAATGCATTTTTGAACCTTGTCTAGAAGAGAAAGAGAATCATTAAAAAAACCAGCTAAAAAAGACATCAGTATTTCATACAGGGACGAATAAGAGATTTGTAGAGGTAGAGAATGGAATCAGGAGTGAGAAAATGGCGAACAGAATAAAGAGAAGCAACCTTAGCAAATGCTAATTTAGCAATCAATTGGATATATAATTTCCATGAAAAGTCAGTAATAAAAAATAATCCTAAAAGACACAATGAAAAGGACTAAGTGAGAGTGTTGAAATTCATTAGTATTGGAATGTCGACAGTATTGCAAGGTTGTTTAGAGTTTTATTTGAGTTAAGATTTTTAAACCACTGTGAGTCCCAATCTGTTATAGAGGTGAAATGGCTGCCTGTTCTAAATGATCAAAAAAAGAAGACTTTTTGTCAAGACAGGGGTATTAAGTTGAGTCATCAGCAATAAGTGCTTTTTTAGGTGTAAGATTGTCAGGAAGATCAGTAATGTAGATAAGAAACAAAACAAGACCAAGGATAGAACTTTGAGGTACCCCAGAAGTCAGGGTTGGCATTAAAAAACCTGTCCAATTAAACCCAATTAAAAAAACCCAATAAAACCCGTGTAATCTGGGTTTTATTGGGTTTTTTAAAGATATTTAATAAATTTATGAATTATTTTAACCAAAATTATCATTATAACTATAATATTATTAACTAAATTAATTATTAACTGTTATTATTAAATTATTATTAACTATTATAACCAGCAATAATAGCTGTGTCACAAAGTTTAGTTAATTTTGTGTAAAAGATAGTAACTCTGAGTAAAAGATTGAGAAATGCTTTAGTGCAAGAAGGAACAGTGGCGTTAGAGCCAAGTCATAAAGCGTGATGAGTATTTAAGTCACTAATAACAAAAATATTGGCAGAGGGGTAAAGAGAAAGGGCATGGTCAATTTGATTAGAAATTACCTCTAAAAGAGTGCAGTGTTGGGAAGAAAGAGAACAAAAAAAAAAAAAAAAGATAAAGGTGATAGAGTGAAGAGGTACTAAGTGGAAGCAAATAAATGGGAAAATTATGTGGAATTAAAACCTGATTTAATCCCACATAAAAGGATTAAAACCTGATATAATGACAAATAGATGAGCTGATGCGTATGAATACCCCCCAAGCCAAGCAATGGGCTATGCAGAATGAGTTATCTCAGTCCTGTTAATTAACCCTAAGTTGTAACATAGGGCTCCTTATGTGGCCTCTCCAATTCACACTGCTAAAACCATAAACAGGGATATCATCCATATGCAACATGACACAGTTAATACAATATTAATCTGGCATTTTGGTGCTGTTGATAAAATCATTCTCTCAAACTGTTACCACAGAGTTCCCACAGAATTTTTGAGATTAGGATGAGATTTTATAGTTAGTGTCAACTTGTCAACTATTAACTTAACAACTAGTTTTTAACTAGTTTAACTTGCTAGTTACTGAGCTCACACTGCATCAGAGATTTAAACAGAACAAAAACATATAAAAAGTAACTTACAGATGAGTAAACACTGCACGAGAGGTTCAGACAGAACACAAACATACATACATATATATATATATATATATATATATATATATATATATATATATATATATATATATATATATATATATATATATATATATATATATATATATATATATATATATATATATGTATATATATATATATATATATATATATATATATATATATATATATATATATATATATATATATATAAATATACACACAAACATACATATATCAACTTATGGGTGAGTCAAAACCACGCTAGAGGTTTAGACAGAACACAAACATAACTATGTTTCTCAGAATGCTGATAAAAAGAAAGAAACTTCCAGAGTAAGACCTAAAAGATATTGAGAAAAATTAATTTAAAAAAAAAAAAAAGCCGATCCTAATAAAAAAGCAGCTTATGCTTTTTTATTAGGATCAGCTTTCACCAACTTCTCCTGAACTTAATAATTGTATGTGAATTTTAAACAAATTTTTTATCTTCCAGACTAAGCCACATGCCTTTAATATTGGTGATAACAAAAAGATCTCTAAAAACAGAGCATTCTTCCTTTTTTACAGGCTTTTAAAAATACTTGTCATATTTTTCTATAACCTTTTCAATTTTTCTTCCAACTGATTTTTTAGAAATACTTGAAAAGTTGAGTTTGTTCCATAAATTACACATTTTCCTAGAATTCACCCCTGCATGTACATTTATATATATATACACATGTATATATATATAACAGGGTATATAGTACATACAGGGTATATAGTATATAAATATATATATGTATGTGTTCTTATTTTCTGAATAAGAATCAATAACAATATTAAACAATAATTTAAATAATCAAAAATTAAAAATTTTTGCTTAATGTAAAACTGCTGAGCCCGTAATCGCCATTTTGTACATAAAATATGACCTGTAACAAATGGCATAATGCTTCCTAACAAGATCTGTCAAATTTTTTTTTAATCCTATTACTTTATCTCTGAATATCTCAAATTTAATTTATCTCTGAATGTTTAAATAAAATTTCTCAAAAAATAAAATTTTTGACAAAACATTTTAGTTTTTATTTTGTTATTTTTTAAATATGTTTAAAAATTTCAAAACAAACGCTCAAACAATTTCTTATGACCTCTATATCTTTTATATCCTTTGATCTAAAAGTGTGAATGTTTTCTGCATTTTCTTATTAATTTTCTTATTAATAACAGAAAATGCAGAAAACAAACTTTGGCACAGTGATTTTTAAAATATAATTTTATTATCATTTTAGATTACTTTTATTTATTTTATTATTATTTTATTTACTTTTTTTTTTAATATAATTCTTAAATAAATAAAAAAGGCTAGAACTGCAAATAAAAATCAAATGTTGCCCTTTTGGTTAAAGGAATATTTATAGTCTCCCTTTACAAAATTTAATTGCTTGAAACCATCGGGCAACCACAAGTGTACACCTTTAATAAATATGTATATATATATGAACCTAAAACAAATATTTTAACTCACATTTTGATGCATGACATGTAGAGCTAGATATTTCCATTTAACCACATATGGCAAAAGTTTAGACAACAAAGGAGGAGACCACAGTAAGTTTGATTGTCCATGACATTTAAAGTCTTTCTCATACATAGTGCAAAAATAGGCAGCAGTTGTTTCATTTCTTGTAGTTGCAGATTTATTCACACTGCAATATAAACATTAATGCAGAAAAAAGCAAACAAAAATTAAAAGAAATTGAAGCTAATAAACTGTGTAAAAATAGAAACAAATAAATAACTATGACAAAAATGTTTATAATATTAAGTAAAAAAGATAAGTAAAAAGAGAAAAACAAGAAATAAAAAAATAAAATAAAATAAACGCATTTAATAAAACATTTATTATCAAATAGAGCCTTGACCTTCTAAAACAACAGGACTTGACATTGGGCAATAAAGTTGATTGATAGAAACCTGATCTATAATACTGTGTTTACATTTTCATCTTTAAATTTCAGATAAAAGTTGTTGTTTGCAATATTTTAGTAAATCTTTTAAATTTTGATTGTTTTATATATTAGATAGTGCAACTTCAAGACGTAAAAGTTAACAACAAGAATATTGCTGAAGTTAAAAGATTGCAAATTATATGAATCAGGAAAGCAAGATGAAGGAAGCGAATTCCAAAGAACTGATGTTCAAGGAAAAAAACTAGACGAATAAGAGTTTTTGGAGCACTTAGGAACAGTAACAGAAAAAGGATGAGACTTAATTGAATGACGAGTAACACGAGAATGAATTTTAGTAGATGGCACAAGAGACGCTAGCTCTTTAGAGCAGTGCCCATTATAGTATTTGTAGAAAAGAGAAAGAGAAGCAACATTACGACGATGTGACAGAGGTTAAAGGTTGGCTGCAAGAGCAGGTCCAACTATGTTTACACTTTTTTGCACCTTGTCTAAAAGAGAAAAGGTATCATTAGAAGATCCACCCCAGATATGGCAACAGTATTCCATACAAGGCCGGATTTGAGATTTATAGAGATAGAGAATAGAATCCAGAGTAAGAAAGTGACGAGCTCGATAAAGAGAAGCAACTTTAGCAGATGCTAATTTTGCAACGGATTTGATATACGGTTTCCAAGAAAGATCAGAAGTAAGAGTTAATCCTACAAGATGAAGGGTAGGAGACTCATCGAGTACATTACCGTTCATAAATATAGGAAGGTCTAAATTATTGCGATAACAATTGGCCAAAAAAAATTGAGTTTTATCTGAATTAAAGTTCACCAGCCACTGCGAGCCCCATGCTGTAGCAGAAGTGAGATCCTTTTCGAGCTCAGATGCCTCCTGCAAGCAATCAGAGGGAGTTGGCTTCTTATCGTGACAAGAATAAATGGTAGTATCATCAGCGAACAATGCCACCAGATGTGAGAATATCTGGAAGATCGTTAATGTAAATTAAAAAGAGTATAGGGCCAAGGATTGAACCTTGGGGAACCCCTGAGGTTACAGAATAAGAAGAAGAGTGCTGTCCATCAAGGACAACTTTTATACTACGATTGGAAAGAAAGGATTCAATAATCTTAAAGATGTTTCTAGATACATTATAAGAAGAAAGCTTATGGAGGAGACCAGCATGCCAAACTTTATCAAACGCTTTAGAAATGTCAAGAGCAATGGCCTTAACCTCTCCACCTTTATCTAATGCGCGATAAAACCTATCGGTTATTACTGATAGCAAATCAGCCGTAGAACGAGAAGATCGAAATCCATACTGATGATCAGAAAGTAGGTTATGAGATTCGAGATGAGAGATTAAGTGTTTGTTAATTAAAGATTCAAAAACCTTGCTTATGATAGGAAGAAGACTAATGGGACGGTAGTTAGATGAGTCAGATCGCTCTCCAGAATTTTTAGAAATAGGGATAACAGAAGCTGCTTTCCAGCAGGCTGGAAAACAAGACCCTGATAAGCACTTGTTGAATAGTTTTGAAAAGATAGACGACAGCTCAGGAGAACACTTCTGCAAATAAGTAGACAACAAGGAGGTTTAATGAACAGTTGAAGCCAGTTTTGAAAGTCAGTCTCCATCTTGGTTAATCCAAAACAATGTTATGTTTTGCACAGAAATTTTTATTTGAAAACTTTGCTGAAAACAAGTCAAGTCCAAGCGCAGGCATAGAAACAAATTTCTTCTGGGTAATTTCGATACCGGTGATTAATCCAGTTTCTATGTTACTTTTTGTTTTGTTTTGACATCAGAACCCATTCTATTGTTGTTTTTGTATTTTTAAATGTATATACATATATGACATATATATATTATTAAACAATCTAAGATTAAATGTAAACAGAAAAACACTTAAAAAATCAAAACAAAACAAAAGATACAACAAACATTACGAACAAAACAAAAAATTAAGTTAAATATTTTTGACAACAAAAAAAAAAGCAATAAAAAAACAACAACAACAACATAAAATAAAAAATAAAAACAACAAATAAAGAAGAAAAATAAAAAATATTACATGGTAGAATAAAACATATATAATAAATAGCTAAAATGAAAATAAAAACAAATAATATATAACTGTATAAAAAATTATATATCACTATTTAAAAATAATTAATAACTAAAAAATAAAACAATAAATGACTAACAAAATATATAAAGTAAAACTTAATACGCTAAAAACTAAAGAAAAAACATTATTACAAGACCGCATAACAGCAAAACTAAAAAATAAATTGTAAATAAAGAATCCTAAGAAATATATGAAATAAACCTAAAGAAATATATGAAAAAATAAAAAAATCTTGATTTGCCAATCTTTTTTCGATGTATAGAAATAGTTATTATTTTCTTTCTTTTCCATTCATTTTTATTTCATTCGTTAGTTTTTTTTTTTTAACTTCTATTTTCATTACTTTTTTATTTATTTCCTTTCAAATATTTCTTTTTCTTTTCTTCTTTTAAAACATTTATTCATTCTTTTTTTTTAGTTGATTTTATTTTTCGTTTAATTTATTAATGTTTACTTTTTTCTTTTTTCCTCTTTTAAAAAAGTTATCATCATCCGTTAGAAAAAAGCATCCACCATTTGATTTTTTTTATAAATATATATCAACTTAAGTTAATATCTTTAAAGTTGCTTGAAATAAAGTGGAGTGTAGGCCTTCAAGAATAACTTTAATTTCGCAGTTAGAAAGAAATAGTTTATTAATCTCAAACACTTTACATAAAAAAACTAATAACAGAGTGAAAACTGATTGTAGGATAGTCAGTGAGGTCAAGGTATTTTTCTAGAGTTTTGGAAAATTGGAACCACTTATTTTGCACTTTTTAAAAGTTTAACAAAAATTGAAAATAATTCTGGAGAACATGATTAAGACTATGATGGAAATTTTGTCTGGAGCACAAACTGTAGAAGTGTTCAATTGAGAATAAACTTTAGCAGTAGAAGCCATATTGATTTTAATGTTCAACAATGGGTTAATCAGTTTAACTGGCAAGAAGAGTGTAGCCATTAGATTCAAGAGTTGAATTAGAGTAAGATTTTTTTCAAAAAACTCTACGTTATTCTGGGAGAAGTAAAAAGTCAGACCATGAATTAGAGACTAAATGTTAAACTTGCTTAAGTTAATGACACTGTTGAAGAGTCTCTTGGTCCTAACATTAGATAAAAAAACAAGATTTAGTAAACTTAGAATAACAGAGCTCAATATCAGACAGGACCTTTTTACATTCATGGAATAATAAAAGGACATTTCTTTTATAACAGAGATGTTCTTGTAAAAAAGATCAAAAAAATGATTACTGTTTAATAAAGCAACTGCTCAAGATGGTAAAAAATGCTGAGTAGAATGAGGCTTGACTTAACCCTGATTGAGCAGTCGTGGTGCAGTGGTAGCGCACTTGCCTCAGAAACAAAGGATCCGTGGTTCAAACCAATATATATTGTTTTTATTTTGTAAAGAAACAGTAGCTTCCATTAGAATGCATCCAGAGATTGAAAATTAAGCATTTGAAGGTACTGCTGTATTTATTGAAAAAATTATTTCTTTTAGAAATGTCGAAGCAGCTGGTGCTGACATTTGCATTAGAAATAAATTATGTGGACAAATTCACTAAATCTGTGATCAACAATTACAACAGCTACAAGATACTGGTGAACTGTCAAATTTTATAAAACCTACAGATAGAAACGTTGTTGAGTAATAAAGCAAAGTATGCTTTATTAGTTTGGTTTTCAACAGATTCATTTGCAAAAGTTTTTTCTAAACTTTGACAGAGATCTGTCACTTAAAAAAGGAATGTAATTTATAAATGCTTAATCTGCAATTGAAAAAATACATAATCAACATGCAAAATTGATTTTACAACTGTTAATGGTATCGATGCTCATACTTGTGACATGTTGTAGAGATTAGACTTCTAATGATGAAAAAAAAAATTGCTGAGTAATATACAAGATCTTGAAAGCTCAGTTAATAAATCTACATTAGTGACTGTAGTTTACATAGCTGACAATGGGCAAAAAAAAAGCAATAAAAATTTATGATGACTCAATCAAATATTATAATGAAAATGGAGGCTATCTGAATAGTTAAAACAGGCTTGAAATCCCTTTTGATTCTCTTGTCGAGTGGTCAATTTTTTGCTTTTTTAATTTTTTCAAGATGCTACTCTATGTTCCTTTATACTTTCCCTCTATGCAAAACATTTTATGTTACAGTTCATAGAAGCTAAGTATAAATTTAAAATAACAACAAGAAAACAATGCAGAATCTATTCTAATATTTTGCTAAAGAATTACTCACTAATTACCACTCCCAGCAGTAGCAAAAAATTTAAAACTAAACATACAAAACATTAATTTTTCAATAATTAATTTCAAACTTTGTTTATGTTATTTTTAAAAATTAAAAAAATACTATAGTAGTTTAAGAAAAATTAAATCAACAAACTGTTTTAAAAATTAAAACACACAAACATAAATATTGTAATAAATTAAATAAACTGTACACACACAAACAATTTTGTAATAAATAATAAAAATTAACTTATTGTTATACAAAAAAATAGCATACAATTTTTGTATTTTATTTTTGTATTTTATTTTGTATTTTATTTTGTATTTTATTTTTGTAATAAAAATTAACTTATTGTTATACAACATATAAAAACATTAAGTAACATATAGAGTTAAATAATAAGTTAAATACTGTTAATAAAAATTAACTTATTGTTATACAACATACAAAAACATTAAGTAACATATAGAGTAACAAAAACTTTAAAAACTTTGCATTTACAAATATAAAAAATTAAATATATCAACAACATTAACAACAACAAAACAGCAGCAACAACAACAACAACAACGAATGATATAATGAAATGATGAAATAAATCAACAAACCTAAAACTTCTCTTGTTAGTTAAAGAATTTAAGTGAATAAACTTGCATTCATCACCATGGTTACAATTACTTGCGGAACTAAAAATTAAAACACATCTTTAATTATTATTTCAAATCAAAGAGATTTGGATCAACTTATATTTAATCATAGCTGCATCCAAAAGATTCAGATCTGCCGAAAAAGGATCTGGATTATACTCTAGGATCTATTTAAAATACCTAAGAGCTGTAGATCTGAATTTTTTTTTTGTTAAACTGGTCTCTACCAAATGCTTTATTATTAATGTATCAAGAAACTTGATTAAAAGTAAAAGTGTAACATACAAATCACTATTTCAAAAACATGTTATTATAAAGTTTATGTTTATGATCCATAAATTGCATCAGAAATCAGTTGTGATTATTTAACTAAATAGATCAGGATCCTGAATTTATATCCATATGAAAAAATATTAGGATACAAACGTTGGATATGAATTCATTTAAAAATGTATTGTAATATATGTCTGACTCTATGTCCTTAATAAAAATAGGTAAATTCAGTTCCTGTTAAAAATATTATATACCACAAGAAATTTAAATTAAAAATCATTATATAATTGATTTAAAAACTAATTGTAATTTAAGTCATTAGAAATAAAAAAATAACCTTTTATAATTTGGATCAATACACCAACCCCTCTGCTGACCAATAAAATCTGAATTTAGTTTTACAAGCAAATTACGCGATGCATATTCAACTGAATCAATCTGAATAATATACTTAGGTGAAGCTATCCGAATGCAGTCTATCAGTAAAGCAAGACCTAAACCTTTCAAATAAAATAAAAAAATTTTAAATATTTGAAATTAAATTAGAAAAATTACAGAAAAATAATAATAATTATTTATTAACATGCACAAATGCAATTTACACAAATCAATATAAAGTATTTAATCAATAAAATATTTGATTTTTATTATAGCATATACAATAAGAGTATAACAAGATTTCTACTTTGTTTAAACTATTTACAGGTTATCACAAAGCTGTCACGTCACATGTCACATGTCACATATCACATGTCACATGGTGCCATTTAAAACTTATACTGACAAATGCAAAAATTTAAATTTAGTTATTATTACATATAAAAAATTCAATTCTTTTCAAATAAAAAAATACAAAATATTTTATTAGATATATATATATAATGAAGATTAATCATATATAATAATATTTTATATATAATAATATTATATATATATATATATATATATTTATATATATATATATATATATATATATATATATATATATATATATATATATATATATATATATATATATATATATATATATATATCCTAGATGAGTTTTTTCTGGGAATTCCCGGAATTCCGGAAATTCACTTTTAATTTTCCAGAAATTTCCAGATGCTTTTTGTTATTAATTTGAAAAAAATTTTTATATATTTTTACATAAAATTTTAAATACAACAACTTTTGCATTTAAACAAATGTTTCCTATAATTAAAATCTTTACGAGATCAATTTTCGTAACAATTTTTGTTTCATTCAAATTAACTTTTTCAAATATTAGAAATTTTTATAAAAAGTTAAATATTCTAAATTTTGTTTTAAAAGTTTACGAAAGTTTTTGTTGTCTGTTACAGGGTTATTTATTCTTATATGCGCATCTATTCAATTTTATATACGTATTTATTCATTCTTATATGCGTTTTAAAAAAGTTATAAGAACAAAAAAATAATCATTTTGTTTTGAAAAAACAATTTACTTTTTTCAAAACAAATTTTTCTTATTTCCTGGTAAACGAGGTTAAAAATACTTAAAAAAAAACTTTTTACATTCCATGATGGTTTATTTTATTTAGCATCAAGCCTTTGTTTAATTTTATTACGTTATTAAATTAATAAAAAATTTAAATGAATAAATGCGCAGTATGTAATATAAGTATGATATATATATATGTATGTATATACATGTATGTATATATACCTATGATATATATATATATATATATATATATATATATATATATATATATATATATATATATATATATATATATATATATATATATGTATGTATATATATATATATATGTATGTATATATATATATATGTATGTATATATATATATATATATATATATATATATATATATATATATATATATATATATATATATATATATATATATTTAAACAATTTAAAATGTATTCTCCAAAAAGATTTTCTACTACTTTGTAATTGCTCTGTTCTTAAAAGAACAGAGCAATTACAAATTAGTAGAAAATCACTTAGCAAAATTTTTTCTCATTTAACACTGTGTTTCATCAATAAAGACTCATCAGAAATGATTTCTGATGAGTCTTTATTGATGAAACACAGTGTTAAATGAGAAAAAATTTTGCTAAGTGATTTTCTACTAATTTATATATATATATATATATATATATATATATATATTATATATATATATATATATATATATATATATATATATATATATATATATATATATATAGTAATGGCGATAAAAATGAATAAATTTATGATCTTTGCAGATCTTAAACCATTTCATTCCAAATAGCTCAAAAGCTCTCATTGTTATCACAAAGCTGTCACATGTTTAGTTAATGTTAGAAATATATATATATATATATATATATATATATATATATATATATATATATATATATATATATATATATATATATATATATATATATATATATATATATATACATATACATATACATATGTACATATTTACATATATACATATATATATATATATAAATTTTTTCAAAATGAAAAACAGCATTATTAATAGTACTTAAAGTTTGATACCATAAATGGCAATCATCAGCTGATGATTGCCATATATGGCAAGATGATTAAGTACTATTAATGTTTACTGTTTTCAAGTAGTGTCATTTCTTTTTAAATTTGTGATAACAATGTCACATGTCTAAATGGTTGCATCGGAGATTGTCCTTGTTTAAAAACACAATCAAGCTCCATTTCAATACTTAAAGGATTATTTACAGACTCAGGTACCATTTCAGGTTTAGTTCGGCATTCATGCATATGAACCATTAAAGCTACAAACATTTCTTTGCTTGTTTTATTGTTAGTATCTTTTAATTTTGTAAGCATAAAATAAATAGCTATGGTTAAAAATAGGTTAGGAATCTCGGCAACATGCTTCAACCATTGCTTTAATGAGAACTCAAGTTGTAATAATCTCTGATAATATTGTTCATCATGTGACAGAGTTGTAATAATCTCTGATAATATTGTTCATTATGTGACAGAGTTGTAATAATCTCTGATAATATTGTTCATCATGTGACAGAGTTGTAATAATCTCTGATAATATTGTTCATCATGTGACAGAGTTGTAATAATCTCTGATAATATTGTTCATCATGTGACAGAGTTGTAATAATCTCTGATAATATTGTTCATCATGTGACAGAGTTGTAATAATCTCTGATAATATTGTTCATCATGTGACAGAGTTGTAATAATCTCTGATAATATTGTTCATCATGTGACAGAGTTGTAATAATCTCTGATAATATTGTTCATCATGTGACAGAGTTGTAATAATCTCTGATAATATTGTTCATCATGTGACAGAGTTGTAATAATCTCTGATAATATTGTCACTTTATCATTTTTTGTCTTTTTAAAGAGTTTAATCTTAAAAACTAGTTCAAAAATACAAATCAAATGTTGATCTATACATGGCGGATAAAAATTAATACAAATCAAATGTTGATCTATACATGGCGGATAAAAATTAATACAAATCAAATGTTGATCTATACATGGTGGATAAAAATTAATACAAATCAAATGTTGATCTATACATGGTGGATTAAAATAAAAATAAAAAAATCAGTTGAATCGTCAATTGAAGAATGTTAATTAATTAAAACGAAAAAAATTAATGGGGACTTATCTTTAATCCTAAAAGATAGCTCTTCAGGTAACTTTTCCATTCAAATTTTTTTTTTTTTTTGAAAAAAAATTATTGTTTTATTGAATTTTATAATACTGATATGTCAATCTAAAAAGTACTAATAAAAACAAATAATTATTTTTTTAGAACTAATTAATGATAAATAATATGCTCTCTCCTTCTCCTGTTCTCTATCTCTTCTCTCTGTCTTGTAATGCATTATTAAAGAGAGTTGTTTTCCAAACTCAGCCTTAATATATTTTGTTTGACCACCTACCAAGAACAATATTAAGATATCATTCTTATTAAGTGGTCTAAATATTAGTATCAATTTATATAATTTTTTTTTATGACTGCACAATGATGAAATTCATTTAGTTCAATTTTAGGTCTTACATTTTCATGATTGTAGCCCAGTAAATCTTCCTTAATTTCTTCATTCTCAGATGAATCACTGTCAGAAAATTCATTTTCAAATTCTAGCTGATTTGCATTTAGGGATGGCAAAAATCCTGGAAATTTTCAATCCCGGGATTTCGGGATTGAAAAATTTGTCCCCGGGATATCCCAAGATTTCCCAGGATTTAATAGGAAAAAACTTTTTAAGCACTCATCAAACACTTAAAAATGATTTTGTTAATAATAGTATAACTAAAATATTTAATACATTAATGAACCTAACATTAAATTATAAACATGTTTATTAAATTAAAAACATGTTAATTTTGTTATATTAAAAGTTATCTACAACTTTCAAAAATTAATGAACCTAAGTACTTTTAATTATAAAACCATACCTTAAAATGGTAACACAGTATAAATAAAAATAATAATTAAAAAATAATATAAATATGTAAGACTTCATTAACTAAACAGACAATTTTGTAATTTATTAAACCTATTTTTTGATAACTTTATTAATTAAATTGACATTAAAAAAACTTTGGTCAATCACTCACATATTTGAAATTAAAATTAATGGAAATAAAAATGGGATTTGAATCATGCACACGTTTGAAATTAAAATGAATGGATATAATAATGAAATTAAAATCGCGCACACTTTTGGAAGCAGGAAATTCAAAATAAATTAAGGTATACCTTCTATTAAAAACTCTTGTTCTTTCCATTAGCAAGCTCTTTTGTAATATACTAGTTTTAATACTATATTATATAATAGCATAATATAATATAATATTGATTTTTGATATGTTTGATTGTACATATTTTGCAGTCAAGCCAAAACATTTTGAGTTTTTATTTTTAATAAAATAGAGAGAGAGTTTTAAAAGGAAAACATTTCAAATAGAAATAAATAGTTACACAACCAAACAGCTACTATTCCAAAGACGATGTACAAATTACTTAATTGCAATTATAAGCTTAAACTTTATTGAATCCCAAAATCCTGGGAAATTTCGGAGACTAATCTCATGACTTTGGGATGAACAACTTGTACGAAATCCCGGGATTTTGGGATCCCGGGATTGCCACCCCTATTTGCATTGAAGCCTTTCTTTTTGTTAAAAACATCATATACAGCAAGTTGTATGCCATGGGCATAACATAACTGCTGATCACCAGCCACCAACCTTTCAACTTTTTTTACTAGCTCTGTCAGTCATTATAGCCACAATGTTGCTGTGTAGATCAAGATTAAGGTCTTAAAGTTTTTTTTCTAATAGTTCAATGCAATTTTCTACTGGCATTGAACTTGTTATTTGCATGAAACCTAAATTTCTGAATTTTGTCAATAAACATATTCATATAGCAACAATTTCGAAGTGACGTCTACGGATTGTAATACCGGTTATCCATTTACTGGTAAATACCTA